TTCATGTTCAATTATTAGGATACTACCAGTAAATTTTTGTATAACCAAGTTGTAATTCATCTTTCTTTATTTCTTGAGGAGAAAAAAAGTGGTCTTACGTAAGTAAAAATTAAAGACTGAAAAACTCAGTTACTACATCATTTTGCATATGAATCTAGAGTAATTATCTTTTCTTTCTAAGCAAATGTTTTTATATATATTCTCGGAAAGTCAGAAAGATAATGATAATATTACACTTTTGAAACCTTTTCCGAAAGAGAACTGAAAAGAGATTGCATGTATAAATCACATATCCCTTTAGTCCAAAATATGCCCTCCAATTGACTATAGAACATTTGGCATGTAAATTATATATATATATATATATATATGTGTGTGTGTGGGTGTCATTTTAATGGTATATAAAGACCATCCATGAATCAAGAAAACGACTATCTTAAGACTTGTCAATAACTGGTCCTAAGCCTAAGGCATCTTTCTTAATTTTATCACGTATGTTGGATTCATGTGGTCCAACTTTCTCTTTTTTTTTTCTGAAGTTGGTGTGATTTTGCTCAAAATTACTTGGTTTGGAAAAATTCCATTAAGATAAGAGTTATAAGGCCACTTTAAATGGCGCAGCATAATATATATACAAGTGTTGAGGAAAAAACAGTCATATATAAGCTCAAAATTGAAAGAATTTCTCGCCTTTTGCTGCATAATAGATTTTAGACGGTTGTTTATAAGCTCAATTTGGTTTTTCAATTATTTTGGACAATTTTACAAGTAAAAAAAAAAAAAAAAACATTTTGGATGATCCTAAAACGCAGATTTCAATTATGGTAAGTATATATTTCTACGTATTATATATCTATGGGAAATAGTAGAAAATAGGCCAATATTAAAAGCTTAAGAAAGTATATAAGCCAATTTTTAGTTATAGAAATTAATAGGCCATAACTTATCAAGTTATGGTTCATAACCAAATAAGTTATGGATAAACTTGTCAAGTTATGGTTCATAGTCAGACAAGTTATGGACAATTATGGACAATAACTTGTCAAGTTATGGTTCATAACCAGACTTTGACCTATTTATTAACTTATGTAAACTATTAACCTATTAATTTTAATTTATCTCAAGTCTTTAGCCTATTTTTCTCTTTCTCCCTATATCTACGTGTGTGTGTGTGTGTGTGTGTGTGTTCCTTGGGCCCTTATCCATTGTAGTAGTCCCCATGATTACTTCTTTTTTTTTTTTTTTAAGGCATTGCTCTATCACTTTCTCCTTTAAAAAAGAGGGGAAAAAAAACATCGATAAGAAATCCTTTTCTCCTCTTACTTTTCCTTTTTTCTCCTTTTTTTTCCTCAATTGCATCAAGCAATCGATTGAAGTAGGAAGGTATACCACTTTCACGCTTTGCCCTCCTTTTTTATTTCTTTTCTTTTCTTTTTTCCTTCTTTTAATTTTTTAATTTATGTATATTCTCCTTTTTTTCTTCTAACCAAGTTGAGGCTGAGCTAGCTTCCCACCATGTTTTTATTAAACAAATTATCCAAAAAAAAAGAGAGAGGAATAACTGAGGAGCATTTGTTTGGCAAATGATGATGCTGATCCAATATTATGCCTAGTTGCTTAACCATTTCTTTGTAATCCAAACTAAATCAAGCACAAATGATCTAGCCGGCATAGTCAATGCAAAACAATCACAACTCAAGCTAGTTTGTTATAACGTGTTTTTTCTCACGTAAAATTTATTTTTAAACTTAAGTTCTCAACTCGAGTTGTGAAAATAATGTCCCCTTAATATTTCATAATTTACATACTTTAGACACTATTTCAATGCTATTAATTTCCAAAGTCATCCTCCTTTTTTTTCCCTGTTTTCTTTACATAAATGAACTTGCAATGTAATGGCATTGATGCCAATAAATTAGATATTTTTATGTTCACATGGAATTAATATCTTATTCTTGACGTAGACCAAATTAATATACATGTATACATATACACAATCCTTTGTCAAACTTATAGGGCTATAGCTAGGGGCACCTTAAGAAACAGATTCCTCGTCAACTCAATCGCATTCGAAAAACCCATATAGGTTTCAAAGCCCTTAAAATTAACCAATCAAATTGTACCTATGAGGTTCGTGCTTATCCAAGTAAAAAAGAAAAATGAATATGAACATCATTTCTTATTCTTAGTTACCTAACACTTATAGAGGACAAGGGTCATGCATTTCATTTATACAGTACATGCAGATCTTAAAATGTGATGATTAACCCGGAAAGAAAAGTGTTTTGTAATCCAGTGATATCGTCGTATTACATTCGTTTTATATGGTGGTGGAACCTACAAATGAGACCGACTAAATGTAAAAAAAAAAAAATAATAATATTATTATTATTATTATTATGAAAATTAAACATTGTTGTATAAAAAGACAATAAGAAAATTTCATGTGAAGATAAAAAAAAATACTATATCAATATTGTATAATAATTGTGCGGAGGTGTAGATAAAATTTTAACAATATTTATAGAATGAAAATGATATTCTTTTAACGTGATCTATAATTGTAAGTAACGTTTTAGTTCATAAATTTAGAATTATTCTCGTTTTACGTGTGTTTTTTGTGAGAAAAAATACTGTAGCGAGCCATGAATCATTATTTGAATCATGACACGAATCCCCATTCCAAACGTCAAGTCAATATATTCCTGAAAAATATAAGAGAAATTGCAGGGTTGTTCTTTTGTAACGAAACTCAGAAAAAGTTTGAACTCGAGTTACAACTTTATTCAATAGCATGTTCTTTTGTAAAATTTGAGTTTGAACTCAAGTTTGGGGCTAAACTCGAGTTCAAGTTTCTCCTTCAACTCGAGTTTATAAACTCGAACTCAAGTTAATAAACAATATTTTTTCTATTCTTAAAAATACCATAATTTTTTCGTTTTAATTTTGATTGAGATGATTTATTTTTCTATGCATTCACAACGAAAAGATGAATAAAACCCCACCTATATACCCTATTAAAATTTTCTATCACTACTGAGTTTTTATTAAAATACTATCTAAATATAAATTTTAAGTTTTGACTCACACAAACACAAACTCAAAAAGATTCTCAATTCAAATCATAACTCAAATGTGCACATGCAAACACAAACTCAAATTACAATTTCAACTCAAATTATAACTCAAACTCAACTTAAAATCATCACTCAAATTACTCTAACTTAAAAATGCAAAAAAAAATAACCCTCACATTATTTGGATACAATTCAAGAAAAGTTTCTTGTTAGAATCCTTTTTAACGCATTGCCAAAAATTATGAAAAGATAAGGAGAAAAAAAAAAGCTCCTACAAAGTAGGCATGTTTTCAAACAAAAAAGTAGTGAGGTCTTGGCAAATCTACAACAGCGGGTTCAATTAATTGTCCACTCCAGTTGATCAGTCCTACTTCACAATGACAAGGTTATTATTATTCTACCATTATTATATTTTTGTCTAATGAGTCCAAACGAAGAAGATTTCCTACGATCTAAAGGGCCTAGATTTTCAACAAAGAGCGTGTGGTCTTCTCGTTGTCCAAGCGTTTTCTTCCCTCTCCAATCATTGTGAAACTTTCCTTTTTTATTTTTTATTTTTTCCTTGGTAGAACTTTGTATATTTTTTTATTATTTTCCAATAGCTGACAAACAATTGGCTAATCATCACATTCACATCCATTAGCTAAATAAAAGTTGATGAATACCCAAGATCACTACCAGTTGCAGTGTATATAGTTGGGCCACTACTTGTCTAAGATAAAAGTAATTAGGGCGACTAAAAGGGGAAAAAAAAGAGTTTAGATCAATAATTGACCATTTTTATTACTTATACAATTGTTAATTAATTATCTCGTGAGGTTTTCAAATGACTAAAAAGTCTATTTCGTAAACAGATTTAAAATGTGGTGGTTTGAATTTTTTTGATTCAAAATGGAAAATTTAAAAAGAAAAAAAAAAGTTCAAACTACTTAAAAATAAGGGGGTTATAGTTAAACTCAGATTTCTTTGATTTTTTTGTTTCTTTTTTTTTTTGGTTCGAAACATCAAAGCAATGGTTTGTACTAAGACTTAAAAAAACTTGCCAAACAGTGGTTTGAAAAACTTTTTGGTTCAAATTCTAATTTACCTATAATTTACAATTAGAAGCATCCAAGAGCTCTGGTTGTGTAAAGTTCGATTCTCTGCTTTTGGGGTATGTGTTGTCTTTTGGTTTTATCTCTTTACATTTTAGCTAGATTCATGGGAAACTAGACTGTAGAAAATAAGATATGGTTTTACTATTTATGGTCGTTTTTTCCTTCCTCTATGATGCAAGAGAAAGATATGATAGCTATATATAGGCCTCACCTATATGAGTATATAAACAAGCACCAAACCCAAAAAATTATATTCTAAAGTTGTCCAAGTTTTGTTTTGTTCGAATTAGGGGTTGAAGTAACTACAATATCTATGTATACGTTATGTGTATATGTAGAAGGAAGAATTAATTATTTATATATTTAAGTCTTAATCATAAAGTACCATTATTTTTTTATATTAATTCTTAATCCCTTAAAGGGGAGAGAGAAGAGATAGATATATCAACTAGGCTTTTAAATATTAGTTATATGTATATGGTGATCATAGATATGTTCCCCTTTAAGTAGACATTGCATGTTAGTTGTCACTTCTTTGGTCATCTCGTCTATTGTCTATCGTGGATTTTGAAGTCATGCAATTGTGGAGATAAAGTGATGTGGTGTTTCTAACAGTGGCATAAATAATTATTTGAGAAATATTCAAGGACGCAATATAATTTTGGCAGAAAAAATACAAATGCACAAGAACAAGAATTTGTGGCCACAAATATATATTGCATTCGTATCAATTATATTTGCTTTTGTTTCATGGGAAAAAGTTATAAGATAAGATAGATTAAGTAATTGTGTCGTGATCATGCACATAAAAAAAAAAAAAGAAAGAAAAAGATTTACGAACTCAATATGTCATATGAGAGTACAAGCTTAAAATTGTACAAAAATGCACCACATTAGTTTCCTGACACCCGAAGAAGAGGCATATTCACATAAATTGCTCCCACTAAAAGTAAGAATCGCAACACATAATAAATCCTGATTATGATCATCTTCTTCTGAATCCCAATGGAAATTTGCCTATGGCCTTTGGCCTTTTAATGTAGAAATATTGGAGCATCCATGATTAACTCTTAGAACTTGAAGCTGGAGGTTGATGAAGCTGCTGATACATTGCAACCATCCTACTATAAGCCTCCGTCGTCATCGGCTGCAACATAATGAATGTTGATTAATTATTAGGATTTTTTTTTCTGTAATCTCCCATTAACATATAAATTGATTGTTTGTTAGTTGAAGAATTATGTGGCAGGATAGGAAAGACAGTTTTAATAATCAGATTAAATCCAACTACATTTTAAATTGTGAGATAAAATTAGAAACGTATCAAATTAGGTAAAGTATACAATTTAATAACTCGATGAAATATATTTTTTTATGTGCTACCAAAAAATTTCTCGTAATTATAAATTATCATAATATAAACATACCTGTGATTGGCAAGCAAAGAATTGTGACAAGGGGTCCGGAATTACTGCCGCCATTTGGGGTTGTAATCGGCCATCGACGGTGCCGGAGCCATCCCATTGAGCCATCGTCATGAACGGGTTTGGGTGGAGAACCGCCGGCGAGATGCCGTGTAGGTTGGGCCGGCCCATCGTGTTCATGTCCATGCCCATGCCCATGCCCATTCCCATTCCCATGCCCATATGGCTCATCATTGACAACTGAAGTTGTTGTTGCATGGCCACTGGCAACATCATGGCAGGCATGTTCATTCTACTCATCATTTGGACTTGAGCTTGCAATTGCTTCAAATAGTCAATCACTTCGTCTAACATTGAAGCTTTATCAGTCTGTAAAATCAAAATCAACAAATTAAGGTTTCATTCATATTACTCGTTTAATTTAATAATTTGAGTTAAAAAATGAATTCATATAAAAAAAAACATTATAATAAAAGAAGTTGAATCTGTATATTTATAAGAAAAAAAATTGTAGCAAAAAATTTGAGAAGAAAGCCTAAATATCTTAATCACAGGTATTCTAGTTCTATAGGGAACTAGTAAATTTATTAGTCTTTAACACTAGTATTATGTATTCATTAGTTTACGAGTAGTTTTACTCATCTTTGTAGTACTTTATCATATAAGACTCTCCGTACATTATGTGTCCTGTTAGAACTAAAAAGTACAAAGTAATATGCGATGCGTATATGGGCAAGTAATAAAAAAGGGTCAAAATAATGCAAAGAAATTCTTATCCTTCCCTTTTGACACATCAAAATCTTTCTTTTATACAAGTTGCAAAAAATAATATAAATAAATAAATAATAAACATAGGGTAGGGGGGTAGAGTAGTGTATTTACTATTTAGGCCCTACAAGTTGGAAGAGGATTAAATATTTGTGTGGAAGCTGCAGGTAGTTGTCTCCATACCTAACACACTCCTGTCAATTTGTACCCCATAGCAAAATGGGTATGTGGACTAGGATTATTGGGAAATTGACAAAATACCCACAAACAATTTGTATGAAAAAGAAAAGAGTTTTGGACCACGCCTATACATATATGTGTCAATCATTGTCTTTTAATTTCTGATTTTTAAATTGTTTTGAGAATTGAAAAAAAAATAAGATGAATGGAATCTGTATACCATGTCAAATCAGGCTTCTCTTTGGATTCATGTGAATTTGAGTAATATCCACTTCTTTCTCTTGGTAACCATCATCAACAATTTAAGGTATATATAAGAAAAGTGATGTTCGAATGCAAATATAATTATGATTTTTTCCTTTCCAGAAAAGCAAAAAAAAAAAAAATACAAAATAATGTTGCTTTTTATTATATCCCTAGCAACCTTGACAATTAAAAGTCATTAGAAAAATAATTAGCAAAATTGAAATGGAAAAAAAATTAATAAGAATTTACTGGAAAAATTCAACTTAAATAGTGGTTATAAACAAATAGCCCATCACGATGTGGAGAGTTTAAATCTCCAACTTTAATTTATTAATAATAAGTTACCCTCCATAAAGAGCTTTAAGATAAAAGCATCAATTAAATAGGTGGATTTTCTTAACAACTATCCAATACATCTTAATGATTAGATTAAAATCAATTAATGGTTCGCAGAAAGATACATATATACACGCATGTATATATATATATATATATAATATGGATATAATAGAATGTCCATCACATTCATACCTTGCTGGAATTCGGGACCAGCTTCTGCAGCGTCTTCATCCGTTGGTTGATCTTATCTCTCCTTTTCTAATAAGACCAAAGAAAAGTAAATTTCCAATGATAAATCGATCATAATAATTCCAAAATTTGTAATAATACGGGAAAGAGACATCATACGCACAGTAGAAAATGTCTCTCCAAAACATTAAAAAAAATACGTAAAAAGAGGGCAAAACCCCGTAATAACAATGAAGGAGAATTAATTTTGCTCTGGAATATGGAGAAAAATACTCTATTAGCTTGTGTTTTTTCATTCTTTAATCTGATTTGTTTTAATATAATCATGGTAAAGTTCAAAAACTTGCATTCGTATACCACGCCTCGTTTATTTCACTCATTTAAATTTTTAATTTTTAATTTTTATAGTTAAAAATTCTCAAAAAATATCACATCTAATTTTTTTATTACAGTTAAAAGTCTCAAAAAATGTCATATCTCAGTTCAAATTAAAAACTCAAATCCACGAAACAAATCATGTATATATAATTTCCAACCTTTCCATAGTCTTGAAAGCAATCAAAAATTAATTCTTCTAAAAGGGAACTAGCAAATAAAAATACTTTAGTTTCCACATCCACTAATTCTTGCTTAATTTTCATTTGATATAATATATATATATACACACACACATTTACACATTTACATATAAATATATATATACCCAAATATATATATATATATATAGAGAGAGAGAGAGAGAGAGAGAGAGGCATACTCGTTCAGACTGGTTATGTATTGCAGCAGCTCTACTCCTTTTAGTTGAAACTGAGGATTTTCCACTCCCCTTCTTTTTGTCCTCCTCCTCCTCTTCCTCATCACCTGATTCCCTCTTTATATATATAAAAATAATTAAGAAAAGAACATAATCAGTATTCCTAAATAAAAGAACATGCGACAAAAAGCGACAACAAAAACAATAAGTTTATATAAATAATAATAAAAGCACAACAAAAAAAGAAACAATGATCTTAATAACAAAAATACAACAAAAAAATGTTTGAAATTTATTATATACTAGTATTAATATTAAACAAAATATAAATATATTCCACACTTTCTCTTTCAATGATCACTTGCCTGGAGTCTACTGTGACAAACAGAATCGTGGTCGTCTGCTGCGGTGGTGGTGGCGGTGGCGGCTTTGGTGGACGGTTTTCCGGAGCTGGCATTCTCCGGCGACCCGAGCGAAGTCGAAGTCATAAAACCCACGCCAAAATCCCTCTCGCACGAGTACTGATCCATCGTCACCTGGTGGCTCCCGCTCGTGCCGCTCACGCTCCACTCCGGCGGCACACGCGCCGCCACCCTGGCGCGTTTCATCTGCTGCCCCGCCGCCGCATTATTATTCTCGTCCCTTGTTGCGGCGCCACTGCACGATGAAACCTGCGTGTATAACGACCCGATATTCACTCCGCCGCCGCCCGCTCTGGCGGAGGGACGGCGAGAAACGACGTCGTTGTGGTGGTGGTGTCGGTTGGAGCAAGGGACTTGAGCGTCCATGTTGGTCGTCATAGCGGCGGCAGCGGCGTTGTGGTGGTGGTCGAACCACGGGACTAATTCAGCATTCGCGGAGGAGGGAGGCTTGTGGGGGAATGATGACCTGGTGGCTTGGTTGACTATAGACTCTAGGGTTCCGCCGGCGCTTGGCTTTTCCCACGCGGTGGTGGCGGTGGCGGTGGTGTACTTGCAAGCATGGGAATTTGTAGTTGGAGTAGCAGTGGTGGTGGAAGTAGTGTTGGTTAAGAGCTTGTTTGGTACGCGCCGTGGCCCTAAGCCGTGCATGGCTATCTGCCCGTTTTCCCATGTCAACTCTGCCACCTCGTAATCTAACCTGTAATGTATTATTAAATCTGTTAATAAATACCCATTTTCATAAAACAAGTCCATGTCCATGATATAATATAATATAATATATATGTATATATATGTGTGTTTGTATAGAGAGAGATAGAGAGAGAGGAGTACAAGGCAGGGACATCATGAGGAGCGATGGAGTGGGAGCGGGAACGAAGGGGAAGCCTGGCAGGAGGACTGTCGTCGAGATCCCAGCTAGGAACACACTGGCTCATTTTTTGGTGTCGTTTATTATGATTATAAGTACTTTGGTGTGGATTGAGGAATAAGAAGCTAGACGGAGGAGGAGGAGAAAAAGGAGGAATAGGAATTGTACTATGTTTTTTGTTTTTTGTTTTTTTGGTTAAAATGACATTTTATTGCTCTCGAGGCTTTTATGTGCTTGAGAGTGAGAGAGAAGGGGGAATGGGAATAAGGATAGACGGAGGAGGGTGCTGATCATTTTTCGGTTTGTGTCCCTACTTTTGGGTATAGAGAGAATGCAAAGAGTTATTATAACGTGGAGAAGGAAATATCTGCGTGCTTTGGTAATGTTTTTAAAATAATTTTATTTTTAGTATAAAAATAAAAATAAAAATATTTTAGAATTAATTTTAAAATTACATTTAATTAGTTTTAAAAGAGATTATTTTAAATGTAATAAAAAATAAAATCGTATTTAGTTATAATTATTAATTAATATATTATAATATTATTAATAAGTATTAGAAAATAAAAACAGAAAAGAGAAAATAATTTTTAACTGTTTTTTAATTCTTTCACAAAAATTATTCTCATTGTTTTTTGTATTCGTTTTCATTTTTAAAATATTTACTAAACAAACACGGTTTACAAACCAATTTCATTTTTGTGTCTCAAAAGACATGTATAAACGTTTTTAAAAACAATCTAAAATCAATTCTAAATGCACCCGATATGCCTCCTTTTGGTGAAATTGGGTATATCTTTTAAGAGTACTTTTTATTGTTGGATGCAACTCAAAGTTGTGGGGCATATAAGAGTGGTGGAATTCTCCGAGTATATCCATCTATAAGTTGAAGAGAAAACTGATAAAAGGAAAAATAAAAATTTTCATGTTCTTTTTTTTTTTTTTTTTGAGGAAAACATTTTCATATTCTTTGCATTGGGTGGGTTAAAACATATGGTATTTAATGCACTAAACATGTTTAAATGTAATAAAAAATTGAAATATTTTACTAATAATAAAATTAAAATAAATACATATAATTACTACATAATTCTATTGCATAAAACGCGAAAATTGTTATTTATGCTATAATTATCATGTAATTTTATTAGTCTTAAAATATTTCAAATCTTCACATTTGCATTTGCAGCCTGTATATGCATGTACAAGATTCCAGCACTACAATTATTATACCAAAATAAATCATCTAGTCCAATATGTTACACTTTAAATGATATACGACAGAGAAGTAGTGTGTGTGTGTGTGTGTGTATATATATATATATATATACACACACACACACACACACTTATGCACATTACACCCTAGTGTCTATAAATAGAAGGTCACTGAGGTCATTAATTACACAGTTAATATTATATGTATCAACATGCGCTATGACTCCGACCAACAATTCTGGCGCTTTTTAGATTTACATTAACAAGAAAAGGAAAAAGAAAATGATCATTTTGTTCGGCTTTCCTTTTCCTATTTCTACTACAGTTTATACTAAGTCTTTGCAAGTTACAACTTGTTCATTCTGATTTGTGGGGCTTGTACCTACCCCTTCTTCAACTGGTTATAAATACTATATTCATTTTGTTGACTCCTTTTCTCGTTTTACTTGGATATTCATGCTTCGAAACAAATTTGATGCTCTACAGACTTTTATTAACTTCAAAACTCAAGTAGAACTTCAATTAGGTCACAAAATTAAGCCATTCAAACAGATTGGTGTTAGGAATGGTGTTCTAAAAACATGAGATGTAATAAAATTTTATAATTATTTAATAAAAGAGTTTATTCATTATTTTAAATGCATATATTATTGAATATTTTATTAATATCATTGAAAATTTCATAATTATTATATATAAGTGTTATATGCGAAATGATAATATTTAAGGATAATAATCAAAACGATGTTCGTAATGAATTTAATCAAAGTTTGGAATATTTAATTAAAACATTACTAATACATGTCATTCTCATTTAGAATGGAATGGTGTTATCCGCACTGTCAATATGGTGAGATATTGAATGAGTGTATTATGCATAATGAGATTGTGTGGAACCAGGACACAGACACAATATGAATTCTGATAATTTCCGTTAAATATAGAAATTCTAATTGAGTATATCAATTGTCATATATAGAACGATCTTAATTTTGAGTTATTAGCATGAATTTGCGTCTTTTGATTTACTCGGTACGGATTCTGAGATGTTGAATCCTATTCCTTGTATTTTAGAGACATGATGAAGTAGATAGCAGAAAATATTAATATACGAGATGGAATCCATTCATTCTTAAGAAAGAAGTAGATAAATAATTCTCTTGAGGATTGATTCGGTACTTGGACTAGTAGGAGCTCCGATTCATGAATTTATTTTATGAATCACTATGCAATAGAGAATCAATGGTACTCAAGGATAAAGACGTAATTAGATAGTGTAATTCTAAGCTTATAGTGGAGTAACTTTTAGAATTAATAGAATTAATTAATTAATTAATTAAAGAGTTTTAATTAATTATTAATTTTATTGAAGCTCAGAATTATAAGTTCATGAGTCCTCATGTCGTCCTTATAATCCTACAAGACACTAAGGGTAAAAAAGAAATTTTAGAATTATAGAATTCTAAATAGAACACTCAAGAATAATTAATTGAGAACCAATTATAAATTAAATAATGTGATTATTTAAATTTGAATTTTTGAACACACATGTGGAGGAGTCGACATGGTGTACACACCCAGCACAGTAAGAATCCCTCTGGGATTCAGTTGCTTACTCTCTAAGTTATCCAATTGGCTTATTTGATAAGCTGGCCAATTAGAATTTAAATTAAATTAAGTTTGACTTTAATTAAAATTTGAATTTGAGTCAAAATTAGACTGTAGGATAAAAAAAAAATTTCTTCTTTCCTAATGATAATTTGTGCCAACTGTAGGGGAAAATATCCATGTGGTGGCTGGCCTAATAGGATAAGAGAAAAAGGAAATTTTATTTATAATTAATTCTTAATTAATTATTACATAATTAAAACCATTAAAATGAACAGAATTTTAGAGTCGAGAAAGTCCCACTCTGAGTTTGAAGGGGCTATTGAGAAATAGATTAGAGTCTGTTAGGCTGGTTTTAGTTTGTTACACAGTTGTACACGTGTCAAGCCAGGATTGGCTTGACACATTTTAGGAGCTATTTAAGACAACTAACTGTACATACTCGTTAATCAATGCAATAATACACTTTTCACCAGAAACTTCTTTTTTCCTAAGAATTCTTTTTCTCTGATATTTTTCTGCTCACCACCCAAATGTCCAAACAAAACATGAATAACTAGTTATATATTCCCCACCATAAACACTTAAACAGTAATAAGGACAGGTACTTCTGATCTCTCTGCACAGGATGATGAAACCAATGACCAATTTCTATCCTGAATTCACGTCCATCCACATCACCATATTTTATATATAATAATTAAAAAAGGACGAATATTGAAATTCATGTGGTGGGTATAAACCGTAAAGCATTTGGATATGCTACTACATAAGACGTACGTATATAATTACAAAGCTAGCATACGTACATATTATATCACACGTAGTACAATTTTATACACAAAGAGGGATAATTTTTTAATTTCGCAAATATATTACAGAATTGTGGCAATTGAATATGCTCATAATTACGGTTGAATTGGTCTTTGGTTTGAGAGTGATTCAACATATAATTCGTGCGGATTAATTATTATATACACATTTTTTTAGATTCTTTTAATCAAACCCAAACTCAAGATGTTCATACTTACGTTACTGTCTCACCAACCCATACACTAGTAAGATTACACACTGTTATCTAAAAGATGCGCCTTTTAATGAAACTGAGACTCATAATTTTAACTTATCTCCAAAGTATTGTCTGACTGCATATAAATCTGATATTTATATGGCGAGGGTTTTTTTTTTTAAGTTAAAGTTGTTTATTGATATTGTATGTTGCTTAATGTTAAATTCGATTAAAATTGTATTCAAGATATATATAATTAACTGAAATTATTGGATTAATAGATGATATCGAGCACCACTGATGATGTCTTATATATAACATTGTTCTCTAAAACAGAGCTTTTAATAGTGTGTGTTTCCATTAAAAAATTTCATTTTAAATTTAATAAATTACATACTAAAAAGCAGTGATAGCATTGAATGATTCCACTTATAACTATGAATGAAACGTAAAAATAAATACACAAGTGTCGAAACCTAACAAATAACGTGTGTTCATACACTATCGGCCTATCCTTGTCATAGAATTGTTCAATATTTATCTACATAGAGAGAGAGAGAGATTACGGGTGTGTTTAATAAGGGAATTCATACCCTGATTCGAATCATGGTTCATGGTTCGTTATAGTATTTTCTCTCATAAAAAATATACATAAATCGAAAATAATTCTAATATCATGATTATAATCTATGAATCAAATATCTCATACAATTTCACGTAACAGAGATTAGTTGTTGGCGGTGAAACGAATTAATATCAAGCAAAATGAGGCGTTAAGAGGGATAGATGTGGCGTGGGATCACCCATCGTATCTATCAATAATTGGGTGTCGCCTTGGCCAAATTTAGACATTTTTTCTCGTATACGGGGGCTTATACTTTGAATAAAAAGGAAAACGCTAAAATGGCTGCCCATTGGGATTTGAAGTCTTGGATCTAGCTCCCTGATATCTACACGTGTTATTATCTGCTGAGCTATCTCATCCACGCGTCACCGGCTCACCGCCGTGGAATAATTAACTTATTCGCAACTACTTTTGTTGACTCCATGTATTGCTAAGAATTTATAATGTTGCAAATACAACGAATTATTCTGAGCAATAAATAATATGAATTATTTACACCAACTACTCTTTTGCTTTTTAATAGCGCAGACACCACTTCATAAAGGAGAAGAAATGCGGGTACTTTTATTTTTATTATTGTCAAATATTTTGCGGTTTTTTTTTTCTTTTAATGCCTCTTTTCAGTATTAATAAGGGGTAGTAGGACCGTATTCTATAATAATATAATTATCATATTATATAAATTAATATAATTTATATCGTATTATTAAATACAGTTCATTTTTAACGTAGTGTATTATATTATTTTATAGTGAATCAATAATTTATGTCGGGGTTAGATAAGACTAGATGTCAGAGTTCGACTAACATAGGGTCATGTTAGAGCCAACGATTGTTGAAA